TCCTGCCTCTTCTCCTCACTTCGATGCTGAGCCGATGAACTTCGTCATTCCTGAGATGAGATCTCTATCTGAAGAGGAAAATGAAAATAGTAAGGAAGAATATGACAACATGACTGTAGTTAGCTTCATTGTTGCTAGAAGTGGAAGGGTAGCTCCTAAGAACCTACTCTTAAAAGACCCATTACCAGGCTGCAACAGAAGGAAGCACTTGAATTTATTCTAAAGATAAACAAAGAAGAGAAGAAAATGAGGAGGCTGGTGAAAGGTGGAAAGCTAGTGAATGAGGAGGAAGTGCCTCCAGCACTTGTGTTGATGTCGACAATGAAGAGGTGAAAGGAACCTGCTTCCTTAATTAGTAAGTCCTCTAAGAAAACTATGATTCCAAAACCCAGGAGAGAGTCATCTGTGAAAACTGTGGATGTGAAAAATGTGGAGGGAGATAAGTCTGGTGAGAAATCTTGTGAGAAGTCTGAAAAGATGGTGAAGAATGTGAGGAAGTATGTGAAAAGAAAGGCTGGTGACACCGAGGAACCTGGTTCCTCCAAGAGGGACAAAGTGATTGTGTCAAAGGATAAAGGCAGAGAAAACCTCAGGAAGCAGAGTACTGTGGGGCAGAACTTTTACCCCTGACATTCTTGACATGACATGGATACGTCAACTGGTTGATATTTGTGAGTTTCAAAAATGGACACACTTGTTCACCAATGAGAGCCCCAAGGTGTTTGAGGAAGAGATGCGTAGCTTCTACGCATATATGTTTACAGTGGAAGATGATAACATTTGCTTGAAGGTCAACAGAGTAGATTTTGTGATGGACGAGGCTGTGTTAGGGAATATTTTGGGAGTGCCTACTGGAGGGATCTCATCCATTGAGGGGACATGTTCTCCAAATTTTAGAAGTGCCATTCTGAAGGATGATGTTGTGCAGTAAGGGGAACGGGTACACAAGAAGGCCCTCCTTCTAGTGTATCAACTTCTATTTGAAACAGTGAATAAGTTCTTGCTTCCACGTGTAGAAAGATGTTCGATTACTTCAAAAGCAGACCTATTCCTCATGGAAGCACCGGATGCCTACACCACTATCAATCTGTCTGGTCTTATGATAGAGCATATGAAGAAAGTGACAGACTTCAAGGATGGTAATCATGGTTTGCCCTATGGGTTCTTGCTCACTAAGGTATTTAACTTCTTCAAAGTCCCTTTAGGAAAAGCAATAGTGGGAACTCGCAAGCAGACCTTCTCAAAGACCACCTTGGAGGAATGCGAGTGTATTGATAAGAAAGGAGGTATTGGCAGCAATTCCACTATCTCTCAGCTGATTGATGCTCAGAATACTGTAAATGAGGAGATAAGGAGGTTGAAGGCACAAAATGCCATTCTTGAAGGGCAGCTTAGTTAGGCCCAGGAGGTACCTGGTTCCAGCAGTGCACAAGGCACAGAGGTTGCTCGCCTGACCAAAGAAAATGCAGATATCAGGAAATAGGCCGAGGACCTGAAAGAGCAGCTGCTTAACGAACAAGTGTCTGTAAATGCTCGAATGGATATTCTCCTTAGAACCCTTGCCTCCTCATCCCTGCCTCCCCCTTCTAGTGTTCCTTAAAACAGTTTCCTTCCTAGTGTCCAGTTGAATGGCGTCTGTCCTACCTTAGTCTCTATTTTGTTTTTTCGATGACTGGTACTTTTAAGTTGTTTTTTTGTGAATGGTTGTGTAACAATGGTACTACTATTTTTGTTCTCTTTTCTTTCAAAATAATGAGCATCTCGTCTTTTGCAAGCATGTTATACTCTTGTGCTATGTTTTTAGCCATGTTGTGTGCACACATGTGACATGAGTTAACTTTCTAGACTTCTTTTTGCCTATTACTTGTGTATAATCTTTTTACGATGCCAAAAGGGGGAAGAAAAATTGAGAAGGGGAACATGGGTTGGAACAGGTTCTGAGGGGGAATAAGAGTCTTGTTACAGGAAATATTGTATGGAGATCTGGTTCTCAAGGGGACTTCAAATTATAAGTTTGTCATCATCAAAAGGGGAAAATTTTGATAAGTTATGTGCCTTTTTGTATTTTGATGATCTAACAAACTTTATGATAAGAATCAGATCGGGAACCTGTTACACATCCTCAACGTGCTCAAGAACAATAAGTCTCAAGTCCGCCACAAGTTCCAACAACTAGAATCAAAGAGACGACGGAGGGAACAGATGGAGATCAATTCCCTTACTGATAGTACAAGTTAACTCCCCACAGCTGTAAAGTCGCTGCACTATTTTCTATACACACACGCAACAGTGCAAACAATGCAACTGTCACTTTATGAAGCATGCCTTGTACCAGATAATTTCTTGCATCATCTAAGTGACATCACTTGTATATTATCAACATGAAGCAAGGGAGAAACACACACTTGAATAATTCGAAAATGATTAAGCTTCTCTCTCAAGTGTGTTTCCATCTTGGAAGTGACTTCAAGGCTTCAATAACGAAGAACAACAGAACAAAGGACCAGTTTCCGACAATGTGTTACCATATGTCCTTAGTTGTGCTGTACCTTTGTTAGAGTGATCTATTTGTAATTCCTACTTAGCTTAGCTAGAAGCATTGTGTAGGAAACCATTTATAAAACCATAAACCTTGTGTTTGTGTCTTATCTAGAGTTAGTCGAGTTGTGGGCTTTGTAATATAGTTATTACAAAGAGGCTTGTAATAGAGTTATTACAAGTGATTGAGGGATTAAGAGTTTAATTCCTAGGTTACAATAGTTTCTAATCTGAAGTTTCCTCAGTAGTGAAGTTGAAATCCTACTAGTGTAGGTCGTGATTTTTAATCTCGTGAGTTGGGAGTTTTCCACATCAAACTTTGCTGTATCATTTACTTATCTCTGATTGCGTGTGTTATGTGGAAACTGACTATACAGTTTGGTGGACCCTAAGTTTACATCACTCTGAAAATATAGATGGGTGCATGTCGGATCCTTCAAAAATAGTGTATTTTTGAAGGATCTGACACGGGTGCGACAACTGTTTTGGAGAGTCCGCGCAACATATATAATCATAATTGCCATATTTAGACTGCTTTAACTATATAAGGCACTTTTGGTTTCGCGCAGTTATCGTGAATAACATCAATGAACTCCTACTTTGTTTCTTGTAAATTTTCTCACATCCTTTACATTGCTAAAATTATTAAATCCCAAAAAAGTTTGTTATATATGACTAAGCACATTCATTCTTCATTGTTAGTATGTGTGTTTTTGATACTTTATTATATGAAAAAATGTTCCATTTAGACTCCTTCTAAAAGTATATATTACTCTTAACTATTTGAGTAACTAAAGGTACAATTTTCTTACTACTAGTTTCAGTATACGTGTGTTGCACATGCGTATAGTGTCTATCAATTAAAAATATATACATTGACTTTAAAATAAAATACATATTTATTTAAATGATAAAAATAATTTTTCTCATAGTAATTATATTAAATATCTTCTGAATATGCATAAATGATGAATTTAGTTAAATTAGTTGTACATTATTTTATAATTATACATATATTTAATATGATTTACAAATATGTTAAAGTCTATCTGGCATCTTTTTATGAATACATTTTGGCTTCTGTTATTTCATCTTTATTTCTTAAAGTTTGTATTTAACCAATTTAATTCTTAATACTACATTTGATTTTATTTTATATTCATATTTATTTTATCGCTAATTGTACCTATATGATAAATTTAGAAAGGAATAAAATTAGATTATCTTTCTAGTTAGTTAATTCAAATCTGGGAAAAAAGTCAATTCAAATACTTAATTATCTTTTTTAATCACTAATAGAAATAATTTATTTTTTACGGATTTAAATTATTAATATTAGCTCACATGCATAAAATAAATATTTAATTATAACTATATATTTATCAGCAAAAATTCTTTTGTCAAATGATAAAACAATTGAACTTTTGCACTTTATGTTTGTCGTAGCGTTAGTAAATGACTTTTGTCAATCACTTTTCTCTCTCTTTCTCTTGCTATTATTAAATATTTTTGTGATTATTTTTTCTAATTAAGTTTTAAAATCTATATTAATATTTATATCTAAGTTTATTATTGATCGAAGAATAAAATTAATAGTCAATGGCCCAATCTCACATAAAATATTCATAGCATTTATAGGTTAATCACTGATTTGTTTACATCATAATTGATCACCTAAAATTTAGCATGATTATACAATTTCTTTTGAGCTAAAAACGTTCAATTGTATAAAATTCATATATAAGGTAAAACATATAAATATTTGGTGTTATTTAATTATACTTTAATTTTAGAATTCATATAAAATAAAACTTTAATAATTTTGAAGTCCTAAATATAAGGACCCCTTGCTTAATTCAAATAAGGAAAGGTATAATAAATAATAAATCCTATTTAATTTTAATCTTCTAAATATTAAATAAAAAAATCAAATACTTATTTTATATAGTATAAATTCTATTTTAAAAGAATAAAAAATACGAAATAACTTTAGTTCGTGAGTCTTATTATATGTAGCTAGCCGCCTAGACGAGACAACAGTCTTTGGGAATCGGGATGTTTCTTGGCAATGCCATAATTGGACTAGTTTAACTTGCTCTCACTGTACTCTTTATAAAATTAAATATTCATAGTTTAAGGTCTATATATTTTATGAAAGAAAAGTAAGGAGACCGATGTATTAAAATAATTTTGCAACTTTGTATACGCATATATTATATCCTATTTTTTCTTTTTACGCAATTTTAATTAATAGAATTATAGTTACTCTTTTGGTTTCATGTTATGTGATGTTTGAGGATGAAAGAAATTTTTGTGATCTAAAATAAACTATAAAAAAATTTATAAATATTTTATTAATTATAAATGAAAAATAAAAGATTAATAATTTTTTATCTTTAAATATAAAAAAATATCATTGGACCATTTAATTGAAGCTGACCAATGTTGGAGTTGGACCTCCATTTATTCTTTTTCTGCCACGGCTTTTCCTCTTCCTCCATTTTCTTCTTCTTTTTCTATAGCTTCTTTCTTTTTGTTTTTCCTTTTTTTAGATCCAAGACATCTGCATTTAATACTTCCCCTCTGTAAGTTTCTTTTCCTTTTTCTCTATATATTGTCCAAAAATTTTCTATGATCTTCATTTCAGTTTTTTTCCCCTAAACTTTGTTTCTTTTTCAGCTTATTGAAGAAAAAAAAAATTGTGGATGAGGAAAGCGTTATCGAGCGTGACATTACGGAGCTGAAAGGCGCGTGATTTGTGATTGTTTGATGGGCAATACATGCCGTGGATCTATCGGAGGCAAAACTTTTCAGGGCTACGCTCAGCCCGAAGATAGTTCTAACTCCAATTCCAATCGCGAACCTTCATCTGCCCATTCTTATTCTTCCTCTGACAATTTCTCACCTTCTAATCACAAAAAGGAACAAAAATCATTATCTCTCGTCAGCCCTAGAAAAGCAAGTATGAATCGTACGGGCAGTAATCAAGCTTATTACGTTATGGGGCATAAAACCCTTAATATTCGTGATTTTTATACTTTGGGTCGTAAATTAGGACAAGGTCAATTTGGTACAACTTATTTATGCACTGAAAATTCTACGGGAAATGAATATGCTTGTAAATCTATTTCGAAGCGAAAGTTGATTTCGAAAGAGGATGTTGAGGATGTTAGGAGAGAAATTCAAATAATGCACCATTTAGCTGGTCATAAAAATATTGTTACAATTAAAGGAGCTTATGAGGATCCGTTATATGTTCATATTGTAATGGAGCTATGTAATGGTGGCGAATTGTTTGATCGAATTATTCAACGTGGACATTATAGTGAGAGAAAGGCAGCTGAATTGACTAGAATTGTTGTCGGGGTTGTAGAGGCGTGCCATTCGCTTGGTGTTATGCATATAGATCTTAAACCTGAGAATTTCTTGTTGGTTAATAAGGATGACGATTTCTCTCTTAAGGCCATTGATTTTGGACTCTCTGTTTTCTTTAAACCAGGTAAATAATGATGTTTCAGCTTACTTTTATCTATAACTTCAGCTCCGGCTTATTTAACTGAATATTTAAAATGAACAATTCATAAAAAAGAAATCTTTCTGTGAGGTTACGTGTATTCTGTATTTACTTAAGTTACCAATATTCAAATGTTGTTTATTGTCAATTTGGATTAATATTAGGTATCGATAATACCTCTTTTGTGCTCCTTTCAAACAAATAAAAATGATTGATGCTTTTCTGTTTGTATTCGTCTTAGGTCTAATTCTTAATACTTTGGCTGGATTATTTGTGACTGCATATTTATACAGGCGTGGCCTTTTATTTCCCTCTAGAATAGTTTATGCATGGCTGTATTTTCTATGTTGATGCGATATCCATTACTAAAGTGCATTCTTCGAGATGCTTATATCCCTAACTTGTCACTCTTTGGGAGATCCGTAAATATTGGTTTATGAGACATTGATTCGTTAGCATACACTTATTCTATCATTTCCTTATATTGTTATGTTGGTTGAATGGTACTTGTGTTCGCTCCCGCAGGCCAAATATTTAAGGATGTTGTTGGTAGTCCATATTACGTGGCTCCTGAGGTGCTTTTGAAGCATTATGGTCCTGAAGCAGATGTGTGGACAGCAGGGGTCATACTATACATACTGCTAAGTGGTGTTCCACCATTTTGGGCTGGTATGTAGTAGTCCTAAAGTGTATGTTATCCATTTTCGGATTTCCATCTCCATAAAAGTCACAATCTGAATTCTACAGAAACGCAGCAGGGGATATTTGACGCAGTTCTGAAAGGGCACATTGATTTTGAATCAGACCCTTGGCCGTTGATATCTGAGAGCGCAAAAGATCTTATCCGGAAGATGTTGTGCATGCAGCCATCGGAGCGGTTAACTGCTCATGAAGTATTGTGTATGTTTACCTTATTAAGTAATAGCAACCTTTCGTTTTTTCAGTCGACGGAATATTTTTGTTTAGCTTCATTTATTCTCAAATTGCATCTGTATAGTATACCTGTGCGTACATGTATGTCATTATGCAGGTGAATGAACTAATGTTTACATTACAATATCCTCTAACTTTCTGCAGGTCATCCTTGGATTTGCGAAAATGGTGTCGCTCCTGATAGAGCACTGGATCCTGCAGTACTTTCTCGCCTTAAACAGTTCTCTGCTATGAACAAGTTAAAAAAGATGGCTTTGCGGGTATGTGTTCTAATCTGATTGTAGATCTATGCTTAAAGTAATATTGTAAAACTCAGGTTCTTTCATGTCCAATCAAACCCAATATAATATTTGTGACTGTTTATTGTGTTCCCTCTGGGTTGCTGGATACAACAACAACAACCAAGTATAATCTCACTAGTGGGGTCTGGGGAGGGTAGATTGTACGCAGACCTTACCCCTACCCTGGGATAGAGAGGCTGTTTCCGATAAACCCTCGGCTCCCTCCCTCCAAGAACTCCACCTTGCTCTTGGGGTGACTCGAACTCACAACCTCTTGGTTGGAAGTGGAGGGTGCTCACCACTAGAGCAACCTACTCTTGGTTGCTGGATATGTAATTGAAATATTTGTGAAGCTTCACATATTCTTTCTGCTTTCAGGTGATTGCTGAAAGCTTGTCAGAAGAAGAGATTGCTGGTCTGAGAGAGATGTTTAAGGCCATGGATACAGATAATAGTGGTGCAATTACATTTGATGAACTAAAAGCTGGGTTGAGAAAGTATGGCTCTACATTAAAGGATACAGAGATACGGGAACTTATGGATGCGGTAAGGCAATCTTTATTGCAAAGTGATTGTATATGTTTCCAGCATCTTTCTCAAGTTAATGATGTGACTATCTGCCAAGGAAGATTATAATCTTCTTCTATGTAGAATGGCACAGGGTAATGATGGTAAATTCGATCTGTTTGGAAAGAGGAGAGTTCAATTGGAATTTTGGCTCTTTCATGTGTTAAATTATTTGAGTACTTCTGTAGTTACTGATGCTCATCGGCAAGGTACTCAGCGTTTCTTTTGTGTGACAAGATCCTGAAAACTGTTAGGCCTAAACTCTGACTTGGACTCACTTCATATGCCTCATTATAAACACCATGACTTTATTGTACAGTCCCTTGTTTCTGTCCACATGATTTATCTGTTGATCTTTTTATTGCCTCTCAACTCTAAACATGCGTTTCTATGAGGTTCATGCAAAGCTCCTTTTAAACTCTCTAAGGCCGTTGATGTAGCTATAATAATACTCACAATTTCAGGCTGATGTGGACAATAGTGGGACTATTGACTACGGAGAATTCATTGCGGCAACTGTTCATCTTAATAAATTGGAGCGCGAGGAACATCTCATGGCAGCA